ATCTAGTAGATCCCAAACTCCACGGTTCGTATCCGCATCCAATGATATTTTATATTTGAGTAATATTATATAAATAAAAAATTTAAAATTTATACATAATTTTTATATATAATGATGTGATTTATTATGAGTCATTCGCTTCAAAACAAAATACAATTGAAGATAAATTTATTTATAATAATAATATTTTTTAAGTTTTTTATATAAATTTTTTGAGCGAATATAATTTTCTTCTGGGCAAATTACAAACACCCCCTCGAGGTTTGGTGAAAATACAGATTCCCCTGAGGTTTGAGAAATTACAAATTACCCCCTGAGGGTCAAATTTTCATAACAAATTAGAGGAAATTAGGGAGGAATCTGTATGAAAACAAAAATCTTATGGGACAATTTGTTATGAAAATATAAATCTCAGGAAGCGAGATGTAATTTCTCAAATCTCAGGAGAGAATCTGTATTTTTATTAAATCTCGAAAGGGGTGTTTGTAATTTGTCCTTTTCTTTTATATTTTGTCTATGATTTTTTTTTTTTTTTTAAATTTTTAGAGTCATGTATACAATAAACATGTATACAATAAAAATTTATATTGTCACCATTTTAAAATTATTTTTTCTATTTCTCTCTATATATTTCTCATATTACTCTTTAAATTTTTCTTTAAAAAAAAAATATTTTTTTTAATTTGATGTCGACAACACTACTATGCAAATAGTGGGGGCCATGACCACCAATTCAAAGAGTGTACATATGCACTCACTGAGATCTCACAGGATCAACGCCGCCACGTGCGGTGTCGGGAGGGTCAAAGATTTCAAAATTCAAAATTAAAAATTAAAAAACAGCAAACCGGACAACGTGGCGGGATTCTATTGGTTGAATGACGTGTTGGTCGGAGCTTATTGGGAGAAGGACTTATCGCTGGGGTCGTTCAGTTTTTAGAACTAGAGGTGTATTTTGGGGGGTTCAACTCGAGCCATTCGAGTTTAGTTTGAATTTTTTTAGAGTTTAAATAAAATATTTTTAAATTTGGTATAGATTTGGACAAAAATTTAAAAGTTCGAATTAAATTTGGACGGATTTGAGCAAAGACGTCAAGCAATCCAAACAACTCAAACCCCAAATTATACATATATAGATATATAAAAATATTAAATATATATATAAAAATTATTAGCCATTACATGATATTAAAATAATTTATATTATTAAATTATATTGAATATATATCATATAAATAAATAACATTAAATCTTACTTTTTTTTCTTTTTATTTTCACTCATAAATTGTAAGGACTACTATAGTGGCATCACTCTTACATTATATAAATTATTTATTTTGATGGTATTAATGATTTTCTATTTTTTAAAAAAAAATTGTAAATAGAGTCAAATTTTAATAATTTAATAATGTAGTTGGGAAAAAAAAACTGAAATTCATTTATAATTCGGACAATTCAGGTTTAACTCGGATCGGGTTTGGGCAGACAATCTCGGGTTTCAATTCGAGCTTGGGCGGGCTTGGGCAGGTCTCAACACAACTTGGACTGGGCTTGAATAACCTCTCAACCCAACCGAACCCCCTCGAATTGCACCCCTATTTAGAACCGGTTTATCTCACCTAATATGACTAAAATACCGCTAATCTTCAAGGGAATTAACATTCGTACCCTTCCTCCTAAGATCATCACAATCACCTGTGTAATGAACAAAAATAGAAATGTCATAATGGCAATAATCTTATCCAATGAGCTTCAGTTAGGATGCAATTTGAGTAGGATTAATCTAAACAACTCAAGCTCACTCCAAATTTTTTTAGATTTGAATTATAAAATTTTAAATTTGACCTAGATTTGAACTAAAATTTATCAATTTGATTTAAAATGTAATATAACTTGAGAAGAGTTTTCCCAATCTTTCAAATTTTATTGTTGTATAAAATAAATATGATTAACCAATTAGGTTAGTGTGGGGGAGGTTATGGGTTCAACCATTTTTAAGAAAAGTTGAATTAAGAGATAAGTATTTGATACATTGTAAGGATGGAGACTAAGACCTCGTTTGAGAACATGTTATTTTAGTAATTTTTTAACTTTTTACGAAAAGATTTGTAAAAAAATAAGGAGAATGATATGACAACTAATATTAACTTTTTGGCTAAATCAAAAAGTTGCCAAACGAGGCCTAACTCTCATAGGTATTAATCTAATCTAACTATTAACAATTAATTTTCGCTGATAATAAATAAATATGAAATATTATAAATCAATGATTATTTTATCGTGGTTGGGATTAAATCATATTGCAATTTAATATATTCTATTGTCTGGTAAACATCTTAAATGAATTTTCCTATTATGATTCACGTTTCTATTTTTTTAAAAGCAATACATTAGCTAATAAAAATTGACTTTTTTTTTTTTTTTTTGAATTTAGGCAATAGGAAAAAATTTAAATTATTTTTTGACAAAATATTTTAGGTAACAAAACATAACTTTGTCAAATTTTGAACCGAGTTTGATTTTGAATTAGAGCTTTGTGAGGTCTAATTATTTTTTAACTTTGTAAACCTTTTAGTTTGGCTATTCGAGATCACCAAGGATCCTCTAGAGTGAAATTTTCCTAAAATTTCCTAGAGTGTTACATTGTGTGGTTGAGATTTACTGGCAAGTCACATTAGAAAAATTGATGTGACTTGCCAGTAAATCTCAACCACACAATGTAGCACTCTAGGAAACTTTAGAAAAATTTCACTCTAGAGGATCCTTGCTCATTCGAGATGCTTCAAGTATAGATAATTCAATCCATAAGGGAACATTGGATTCCACAAATTTGATATATAATTGGCGAAATCACTTATCAGTGGAGCAAAAAAAAATATTTATAAAGAGGTAAAAAATTTATAATTTTAATTATTAATATTTATAAATTTTATCATTTTTTTTGTAAATAATTTTTTTTCCCTATACAATTAGGGATGTGTATCATATGTACATTTTATATATTTTTGTGGTACATGTTAATTATTTTTATAATAAATTTTATGTAATTTTCTAATAAAATTGCAACAATTTATGATTTAAAATTAAATAATATTACACATTTTCTATAGATTTTTTTTTTAAATCACAAAATATGTAACTTTACTATAAAAATTTATAATACTTATTATAAATTTTCATAAAAAATAAATAATATTTGTCACAAAATACATAATATGTATCAATAAACTGTGTAACAAAGGTGTAGTACACACCCCTAATAAGGAGAAGTTATTGGAGATGGGGTGACTTTGCACAGCAGTCACAATTGTCCCTTTTTTTAGGACACACTGTACGTCCTACCTCAATGATTTAAATGATTTATTTTTTAAAATTTATTAAAAATATATTTTTTTTAAAAAATAAGTTCATAGGATATTGATAATCTTTAGATAAGATTATACTTGCATTCAGATTAACACTCAAAATCACACTTATCATTTATTTTAATTAAAATTAAAAAAATTACTGCTAAAATAACTTACTCACAAAATAATCCTTAGGTCAAGTTTGGCAAGTCCATAAAAAGTAAAAAAGTTACTTAAAAAGTAAAAAAGTTAACACTATTCACTAAAAGTAAAAAATTACGACTGCACAACTTTTAATTCTAATTTTTTCTTATACACTAATTTATATAATTTTTTAATATTTATTTTTTCATAAAAAATTAAAAAGTTAACCTAAACATCCATATTTTTTTCTTCAATTTTTTAGTTCAAAAAAATAAAAAATATACTTATTTAAGACATGCCAAACAACTCCTTAGTTGGAAAGGGGGAGGTGTAGCGCTCCTCGAGTCAAAAATATTTGAGAATTTTAATTGAGCATTGGTAATGATGTAGAATGAATTCAGTCATTCTTTATTCTTACTTTTTCTATCACTCTCTTTTTCAAATTATTAGAAATCAAAATAAACGAAAATATTAAAGATTTTAAAAATTTTATTAAAATTTTTATCAAATATCTTATACATGGGATTCACATCCCGCACATGGTGTGAGAACCACACTCATGTAAAACATTTAGCAAAACTTTTGATAAAATTTTTGAAGTCTCTAATACTACTCCTAAGAGCATTTCCAACGGTTCATTACTTTTTACACCAAATTTGAGCAAAAAATAACTGATTTTCTCAATCTGATATCGCTTGCTCTAACTGTGCATCAAAAGGAAAGAGTCATTCGGTGGGTCGACCTGTAAGGCAATTTTTGTTTTTTTTTTTTAAAAACCTGTTTGAACCTTTTTGACCGATTTGAACCTACCTATTTGAAAGGGAACCGGTCGACCGGTGAGTCCACCGGTCGGACATCCGGTTGGTTGACTGGTTGGCCCACCCCAACGGTATAGCACAGTGAAAAGATGAAATCTGGAGCTTGTCCTCAGTTTGATGAAACTTTTGTTTCGTTCTCATTTTGATATTAATTTGGTGAAATCATTGGAAACACAAACAGTAATTTTTTCATCAAATTTTAAATCTGATACTGGATTTGATGCACGTCGGAGATGGTCTAATATATTATTAAGGCTTTGTTTGGGAAGTAGGTTGGCTTTTTGACTTTTTGATTATTTTAACCTGAGCTAAAAAGTTTGGTTTGGAAAGGACTTTTTGACTTTTTAACTTTTTTGATTTTTTTATGAGAGAAGAATGTAATGATTATGGATTGGATATGATGTTTTGTTTTTGTGATTAAAATAACCTATTTTATCTTTTGTGATTAAAATAACTAAAAAAGTCTAAAAATCAACTTGCCAAACGGAGTCTAAAAGATATAAAACAACTTCCCTTGACCACCTAAGGCGCTGTAGAGTAGGGTAGGGTGGGGAAGTAGATTACAATTCCCTCAATAAGACGTTTCATTTTGGAACCATACACCACAGTACACAATAAATAAGACGTTTAAAAAATGCAACAGGTTGAAAAAAATTAAATTAAAAAATGAAAAACTCCCAAAAAAATCCACATCCCCTCGTTCCCAACCAAAACCCTCGGCGGCATTGTTGATAATAATATTTACTCCCAAAGAACCTCCCACAGAGCCTCTCTCTCTCTCTCTCTCTCTTAAAACCCTTTTCATTTCTCTCTTTCTCAGACTTCTCTCTCTCTCTCTATCTCTCTCTCTCTCTCTCTCAAGAAAGGAATGGAAACTGGTCTGGACCCAGGTGCGCGTTTCATGGTGGATGACCTTCTCAACTTTACTTTGGACGCTGGCGACAAAACCCTCACAACCCTTTCTTCTTCTTCTTCGCTGGAGTCTTCCAACCCAGACCCTCATCATCATCAAAGCCTCTCCTTCCCTGAGGAAATTGCACTGTAAGTTCCCCCCAAAACCCTCTTCTTTCCATCTTTTTAGGCCCTGTCCGAGTTTGTCCTTGACTCGGACGATTCTTTGGGTTTCAATGGCCGAAAATGGTCTGACTCGGCCGCGTTGATTCTGGTTCTTCCGAGTCGACACGGTCGAGTCAAATAGGTGAGTTGGGGTCCAAACGAATTTGACTCCAAAAAATCCATTTTTGACGCATAGGACAGTTTTGTCCATTGAAACCCTGAAGACTCGAATCGATAATATTATACACGTGTAAGGGTAGTTTCGGGATTTCATTGATTTTGAGGGCAGCCTTTATTGCCTTCCTTGTTTGCCACAATGAATTGAGTTGTCCAAAGAAAGGGACAATTCCCATTTGACATATCTAAGCATATCTCCTCAAATTTCAAAATGTGGTACCATGTGCTCTTCTATGAAATGACAATAATACCCTACAACTTACACATAATTGTCCCCTTGTCTTGTCTACTCCTCGTGTACACTTTGAAATGTGAATGAAAAGAAGAAGACAAAAGAAAAAGTTGGGCAAAAAATGGGATGCCTTTGACAAGATGGTATCCTATGGGGTACCCTTATGTTTGATTGATCATATACTCGGTTGACTCAGCTGAGTCAACTCAGTGCACTTAAGTGTTTGCTGTACTTAGTCATTTGTTCCCATATATACTTTAGGAGGAAATTGCAGAGGAAGAACTGGAATGGTTGTCGAACAAAGACGCATTCCCGGCGGTGGAGACTTGCCTTGACATTCTCTCCGACAACCCCGGCATTGTTCTGAACCACAACAGCCCCGTATCGGTGCTTGAAAACAGCACCACCAGCACTAGCAATAGCACCACCACCATCACAAGTTGCTGCGGCGGTGGCATTCTAGTCCCCGTCCGTTACCCAGTTAAAGCAAGAAGCAAGAGGCCGCGTCGTGGGTTTTTTTCAGGCTTACCCAGTCAGCAATCTTGGTGGAGCCAAGCAAATTTCAAGAATATCAAACAAGAATTGGCACCAGCAGCTGCAGCAGCATCACCACCACAAAGTGCCACCACAACAATTGGGAGAAGGTGCCAGCATTGTCATGCGGAGAAGACCCCACAGTGGCGAGCGGGTCCAATGGGGCCAAAAACATTGTGCAATGCTTGTGGGGTACGGTACAAGTCGGGGAGGCTTGTCCCCGAGTACCGCCCTGCGAGCAGTCCAACGTTTTCGAGCTTGATGCATTCAAATTCTCACCGGAAAGTAATGGAGATGAGAAGGCAGAAGCAAATGGGAGGGATGGTTTTTAATGAAGCCTGTGGATATAGGGTAGGATAGTGGTGATGGGTAGTTTTTTTTTTTTTTTTAAATCTTTTTTTTGGGTCTTTTTTAGTTTAGTTAGATTAGGAATTAGGGTTTGTTGTAATGGGCTAGATTGTTAAGTTAACTACATTCTGTTTTGTCTACAAAATCCAGCAGGGGAATTTTGACTTTAGTGTGCTTGGTTATGCATTAGCATACAAAACCTGAAAAAAGATTTGGTTACGGTTTTGGCCATTATTTATACTGTTTGTTTGATTGCTTGGAAGTTGGTATGGAGATGATGAAATTGTGGAAAATTTGGAATGCTCATATGCGGGTTTTGGTGACTTTTGAAAGGCAGAACTGGCTATCATGTTTTGTTATCTGAGCTAACGTAAAACCGATGGCTAGTTGTGGAGTAGTTTTTGATTGACTACTAGTTGTAATACATTATCTTTTGTCGGCTGACTTGAAATACAGAGACAGGATATTGTAAGTTTTAACTGTTATCTTACTGTTGCTTTCTATTGAACTAGTTGTTTGTTTTTCCTTTGTAATCTCTTTTGCTTGTTATCATCTTCAATGCGTGTAATGGATTTTGCTTCGTGCTTTCCTCAAGTTTCATATGTTTGTAAATGCTTCGTTGTTATGTATTTGTCAATTTGTAGTTTAACATTGTAGTTCTGAGGTGAGTGTAAGAAGTGTAAATTTTCAAGGAAATGAACTAGGTACGTGTAGTATTATATTCTTAGTGAATGGGGGTTTTGGTAATTGTCCTTTCCAGACGATTGGAATGTAAAATGCAAATTGGACTGTTACAGTACTTGTTGTACCTTTTGCTGATAGCTGAGCCTTAATCTGCTATGCATCCGTTGGTACGAGTCTTTGCTAGGGATTCCAAACAGCTTGTGTTTTCTATGGTTCTGGTTGGGATAATTTTTTTTGATTATTTTAATTACAAAAAGATAAAATAGATTAAAAAGTCAATAAGACAAAATGTCACATTTAAATTATAATTATTTTTTTTCTTCATAAAAATCAAAAAAATCAATGCAAATGAGATTTTTTAATTTCAAATTAAAAAAGTCAAAAAATTAAAAAATCAACTCAAATCGCAAACGAAGGCTATATGACCTGTTTAGATTAGATAAATGGTCACATCATGAAGGCAAATCGGACTCCGTGATCATTGTTGCATTTTTTTTTTTGGAATTTGTGACCTAACCGAAGGAAGATAAAAAGTGGGGAGGATGTTAAACCTACCCAGTTAACAGCCATGGACAAAACTGCATTTTAAAAACTACAATTGTAGGTGAGATTTATGACCCATCTGAATTAGGTCCTTTTCTAGGTTTTGGGTTGTTTGCAATGTGAACTGAATTATTGTACAACCTCATTCTCACCAAGAAAAGGTGAAAAATTTAATGGTATCAAGGTGAGTAGTTGTTGCATTTAGTAACAGTCCAATTTGCTAAAGGTTCCGTGCTTTGGCACGGGATCCTATGTCTCCAATGTTCAATGTACTACTACAACTCGTCTGTACCTTAAGATTTTTACTATATCATTGAGGATAGGACAAGTAAGGTTGTAAACAAATAAAGTTGTATCCACTAGTATGAAGGTTAAAATTGATTTGAAAAAAATAATGAGTTGACCACTGAGCTTGAGTTAGGCTCAGAAAATTAGCGAGTTCTAAAATGTGTAAAAGTTTAGATTATTTATGTGACATATCAATCTCAAAAGGATTTCTAACAAGTTGAATATAAGTGAAATTTGAGTAACTTGGTTTGCAATATAAAGGACCAGACTTTCAGGAATTGAGAATCCTTGACCCTTAAATGCTTATGGCCTTGCATTCACCATAGCATTATTGGACTCTTATAGAAGGGCTTGAATGGTTTTTAACAGTAGCAATTGTCATCTAGTGCAGAGAATGGACCCTTTGGCATGTGGGTGGGAATGGATAGGTCACTTCATGTGGTGGAAAAGAAAATCTGTAAAATTGTGAATGAACCATGTGCAGTTCAATTGAATGGACACATTGTTTACGTAAAGTTATGTCCACAATTTAGATAACCTTAGATTAACTTAACCTTAATCGGGACGGTTGCTTTAATATATATACTATGAAATGATGATTTTATCTAGAGCCTGCAGTGTCGTTGACTGGCTTTTGAGGTTGTTAGCAGTCCTAATCAGGTTTCGACATAATCAAGACAGACCTAATTAGACAATTAGGTGGTTAAATAGCTCTTAAACAAGTGTTTGTTGTGGATTAGGGTTGAAAGATTTGCACTTAGTGCAGGGTATTAAAGAAATAATGAATGACCACCTCTTGTCTGTATAATTGTCCACATGTTGAGAGGATTGTATTTTGAGTATATAATATAGAAAAGAAGAGCACTTTGAGACTTTTAGGTATCTTAGGGGTTGCAGAATATATAGTTGGATATATCATGAATGGCACTATGTAGGATGGAATATATGACAAAACATATCAAATCATGAACCTTAGCTAGAGAAGGCTGGTTCTTAGTTGTCAAGGGAATCTTCATTTTATTTTATTTTTTTTATAAATGTTTTCAAGTTAAATCGTCCTCTTGTTGAGTGCAGTACATAGCATATTCATAGGCCAACTTGTGGGGGGAGACTCTCATGCTCTCACCCAACTAGCATTGTTAAATAGTTGTGTCTTTTTTAGATAGACTCGTTTCTCACTATTAAAGTGGCGTGTTTGATAACTTTCTTCTATTTTGTAATATGTTTTTGTTTTTGATTCGTAAAAAACAAAACAAAAATAAAAATTTATTTGCTGCAAGTACATGTATTCAAAATAATATAAAAACAAAATATAAAGAAACATGTTTGGCGAGTTGTCAAAAGTGGTGACAGCCAGCAACAAGAGAGTAGCCGCTGTAAGTGGTGCTTTGCAATGGAAAGTCGCCAAAAGTGGATGCAGGTGGTGGAGACCAGCTGTGGAGGATGGTTAGAGGTGGGGACTGGTGGTGGTGGGTGGCCGGAGGTGATGGATGGCGGGGCATGTTGGTCAGAGGTGATAGGAGAGGAACGAATGGAAACTTGTCTTAGAAACAATTGAAAACATTTTAATTTTTTAAATTTCTAAAATTTTGAAAATGAAAACAATTAGGCATGCAATTTGGGCGGGCTCAACCCGGGTAACCCGAATCTAGCCCAAATTTTTTTGGGACTTGGACAAGATATTTTCAAATTCGGTACAGGGTTGGACAAAAATTCAGAAACCCGAATTAAATTTGGATAGGCTTGGGCAATGATATCAAACAACCCGAGTAACCCAAAATCCGAATTATACATATATAGATATATAAAAATATTAAAAAAAATATATAAATTATTAGTCATTACATGATATTAAAGTAATTTAGATTATTAAATCATATTGAATATATATTATACATACAAATAACATAAAATCTTACTCTTTTTTTTTTAATTTTAATTTTCACTCATAAATTATAAAGACTATTATATCGGTATCTCTCTTACATTATATAAATTATTTGTTTTGATGATATTAATGATTTTCTATATATATATAAAAAAAATTGCAAATAGAGTCAAATTTTAATAATTTAATAATATAACTGTAAAAAACAAAAAATTTACAATTCGGGTAACTCGGACAATTTGGGTTTAACTCGGGCGGGCTTGGGCATGCAACCTCGGGTTACAATTCGGTCTTGGGCGGGCCTAGGCATATCTCAACACAACTTAGGTTAGGTTTGGACAGCCTCCCAACCCGACCGAATTCGCTCGAGTTGCATCCCTAAAAACAATGACAAAATGTGTTTTTGTTTTTAACTTCCTAAAATTTTTTAAAACAAAAACAGAAATCTTCCCCATCCATCCCCTGTTCTTTTGGGCTGCAGAAAATCTTCATTAGGCAAACTCAAAAAATAGAGCTTTTCACTCAACTGGTTGACAATAGTATCAAACAAGCAAATGATATTTATTAATTTATTTAACTCCTTTTTTTTTTTTTTTTTTTTGATTAACAATAAGAAGTTAACGAAAACCTAGATAATTGCTCCGATTACTTTGCATGACAGCATTGTTGATCTTGTTAGTCAATGGTAGGTTATCCAACCATATCAAATTTGTAGTGTGAGAGCATGACTTGTGATAATAATATATATTGTGATTCTCTCTCTCTCTCTCTCTCTCTCTCTCTCTCTCTCACTGGAAGACAGATTGGACTTATCTGTTTGGATCAAAGGAAAATTTTCAAAGCTCAAGTGCGGATCTATAATGTCAGTAGTCCTGCCTCTTGGCATTGTAAGAAAACAGTATGCAAGCTTCTGTGAAACATTTCTGTGCAAGTAACGCAGCAGCTCAAAAAATAATTTGCAAAGCGTGAATTGTAGCAATTAGTTGACAAGATTTTGACAAAATGAATTATAGATTTATCTTCACACAATTAGCTAGTAGTTTCTTGGGGGTTATATCTTGTTTAATTAGTCTTGCCAACTTGTGCCAAAGTACCTATTGGCGGATTCTCCGGTGGTGAAGAGTGGTGAGAATTAGTGATTTTGCTTGTGTTTGGATAATAGGATCCACAGTGGTTTTAAGTTCTTGTTCATAGTTACCCTAATCAATCTTTGTCTTGCTTGATATAATGCACCAAGGATCCTCTAGAGTGTTTTTTTCCTAAAGTTTCCTAAAGTGGTGTATTGTGTGGTTGAGATTTAATATTGAAAAATTGATGTGACTTGTCATTAAATCTCAACCACACAATGCACAACTCTAGGAAACTTCAGGAAAAAAAAACTCTAGGATCCTTACTCGATATAATGGGGAAAAAAGTAGATTTTTTTTTTTTTTTTCATTCAAAGATAGTTTTTGTTTAGCTGTCACTACTACAATAATGGTTAAAAATATTCATTTTACCATTCAAAAGATAGCTTTGCAAAATTCCTGTCACAACATAAATATCGAAGGATAGTGGTTTTAAGTTGTTTTAGTTCACAGTTAGCCTAATCAATCTTTGGCTTGATAAAATGGGAAAAAAGTTAGATTTTTTATTTTTTTTTTTCATTCAAAAGATAGTTTTTGTTTAGCTGTCACTACTACAATAACGGTTAAGAATATAGTTTTGCAAAATCCCTCTTACAACATAAATAGTAGTTAATCACAGGGGTGGTGGTTTAGTAGAGAAGGCATCATTTCCACAAGTGTGACTTAGGTTTGAATTTTGGGGGGACGAATTTGCTACTTTGCAGCCTGCTGTCTGCGGAGATCTCGCCTTGTACTCTGATTGAAACCTGGACTCGTTTATGGCGTGTGCTTGAGTTCCATTAATACCACCCTTAGTACGTCGGTGGTGGATCCTTTCCTTTGGATTGGATTAAATTAAGTCGGCAATCGATTATCCTGGAGTCTAAACCCACAGATGCAATGATAATAATTCAGAGCATCTTTTTTTTTTTTGAGTTTAAAAAACATATATAGATATATAAAAATATTAAATATATATATATATATATATATAAATTATTAGTCATTACATGATATTAAAGTAATTTAGATTATTAAATCATATTGAATATATATTATACATACAAATAACATAAAATCTTACT